GGCCCAAACTGGGCCACAGAGCGGGAGCGGGAGACCCCAAGGCGCCCCAAGGCGGCCCAGATGGCCCGGGCCTCCCCCCTCCCTCCTTCCCTCCCGCCCCATCCCGTTGCCTCCATTCCATCCACTCTCCTCTTCCTCCCCTCAAGCCTCTCAGCTTTCGTGTGCCTCCCTTCTCCCCTGGGACGGCCACGCCAGAGCGCCAGACAGGCCCCGCCAGAGCGAGCGGGGCATCGCTACGCCCTATCATTTCACAAGTTGCTTTCCCCCTCCCTCCCCTCAAGGGCAGCCCCGGCAGAGCGAGAGCTCCAATGCTCGAACGCGGCCGAAGACGCCCCAAAGATCGCCTCGAGACCGCCGAAGAGGCCCCCAAAAGAGCTCCAAAATGGCCCAGGAGAGCCTGAAGACTGCCCAAGAGCAGGCTAAGACTGCCCAAGAGAGCCCCAGGACAGGCCCAAGCTGGGCCACAGAGCGGCAGCGGGAGGCCGAAGAGGCCAAGAGGGCTCCAGAGAGCTCCGAGAGACGTCGCGAGAGAGCCCAAAGAGGTCCAAATCATTGATATGCACTGGTTTGTTCGATGTGTGTCGCTTCCTCGCGTTCTTGAGCTTCCAATGCTCGAAGACGGGACCGCCCCCAGACCGCCGAAGAGGCGCCTAAACGAGCCGAAGACGGCCAGTTAACCCTAAAATCGTCCAGGAGGAGCCCCAGACGGTCCAAGAGAACCCAAGGACAGGCCCAAGTTGGCCACAGAGCGGGAGCGGGAGGCCCCAGTCCAAGACGGCCCAGATGGCCCGGGCCTCCCCCCTCCGTCCCTCCTTCCCTCCCGCCCCCTCCCTTTCCTCCATTCCCTCCTCTTTCCTCTTCCTCCCCTCACCCCTCAGCTTTCGTGTTCCTCCCTCCTCCCCTGGGACGGCCACGCCAGAGGGCCAGACAGGCCCCGCCAGAGCGAGCGGGGCATCGCTACGCCCTATCATTTCACAAGTTGATTTCCCCCTCCCTCGCCTCAAGGGCGGCCCCGGCAGAGCGAGAGCCTTCTGACTACGCGTTTCTTTGCGTCGATGGCATGGGCCCGAGAACGCTGGAAATCGTCGTCGTGACCACACCGGGGCTTACAGCGGCACCCGTGCCTCACCTGCGACTAGAACCAAAGCGCGCGTAGCGCACGCGTGGTTCTAGTGTATATGTACACAAATTCCCCTTCCTATATTTTTATAAGCCCGGGCGGGGGGAAAACCCGTCCCCCCCCCCTAAAACCGGGTCCCCGGGATCTGGGGCTTTGGGACCCTCCGGACGGGCCTCGAAGCAGCCCTCCGCGGACTCGCAGGGCGTTTTGCCAAGCCTTCGCAGCACACCCAGGGCGATCAGGGGGGGTCACCGGAGACGTCCCAGAGACCCCCAAGACAGCACAAGAGCGCTCCAAGAAGCCGTCATACCCCGAAAGATCGCTCGAAAACGTACCAAGAGGCCTCCAAGAGCACCCCCAAGAAGGCCCCAAGAGGGAAACATCATTGATTTGATGCAGGTGTTTTGTGCATTTGGGGTTCTCCTCTTTTCGGCTTCCCGACGCTCCAAGACGGCGGTCTCCTGGGCGTCCAAAGCCGCCTGGGAGGCTCCCAAATCGCCCCGCAACCATCCGAAAGGGCTTCCAGGCAACCCAAGAGACCCCCAAAACGGCACAACACGGGTCCAAGATGGCCCTGAGAGAGCCCCATGGCGGCCCAAGATGGCCCCAAGACACCCTCCGAAGCATTCCAAATCGTGACTGGGGCGTTCAGGGAGACCGCGGTTAGAGGCAGGTTGGCCTTAGGAAGCCCCAGAGGCCCCCAGAACACGCCCAGGAGGCTTCCAGAAGGCTTTCAGAAAGCCCGAGGACTTTGGTGAGGCCCCGAGAGGCTCTCCATGGAGGAGCCTCCGCAAAAAAAACTGAGGAGGATGGGGAGAATGCCCAGGGTATGGCGAGAATGAGGAAAGACAAACATGAGGAAGGATAACGAACAACACTATTACAACGGCGATGCCAGAAAAGGCAGCAAGGAGTTATCGCTAAATTGTCGGCTTGACCTTCCTGCCATTTCCGCCTGCATACCAAACTTCAAGGACCAAGGTGCATGGCGCGAAGCGCCACTGCAATCTTGTATGTATATATATATATATATGTAGTTGCATATTTATATGTTATGTGTATATATATATATATGTGTGTGTGGATTGCAAATGTTCAGGCGCGTACATCCAATAATGAATGGGCACTTCGCGGCATGCATTCTGGTTCTCGGAGCTTCGAATTCAAACGATTCGTGTGAAAACCCGCAGGTTGTCCACGGGGTGGCAATGCGCGGGGCTCGCGAGTTTTGTTTTTAATGTTCCTGCTTATCCTCCTGGTTCAAGTCTACACGCTTCGCGTATCCCCACCAGTCTTTTCAGAAACCTTGCCCATGCGAGCTGACGGGAGAAGGGACGAAGGGACACGTATAGTGAAACAGAGCGGGAGCAATGGAGTGGCCTTGGAGGGCTTCTTCGGGCCATCCCTGGGGCTCGCGGGGGGGGGCGGGGGGAGGAGGAGGAGGAGGAGGACGAGGAGGAGGAGGAGGAGGACGAGGAGGAGGAGGTGGAGGAGGAGGAGGAGGAGGCACACCGCCTCTTGGGGCCTCGTGGGGCGCTCTTGGGTTGCTCTTGGGACGCTCTTGGGAATATCTTGGGGCCCGCTTTGGGCCGTCTTGGGGCCCTCTTGAGGGTCCCTTTGGAGCCCTGGGCGGCCTCTTGAGGCCATCTTGAGGCCATCGATCAAAGGTAGGGGGGTCCCCGATTTTGGTTCCCCCCGGGGACCTTCGAAATCGCCTTTTGGAGTGTTCTTTGGGTTCTCTTGGGCCGATCTTGCACGCTGTTGGGGCCGTCTCTGGGGCCGCCTGGGCTCCTTTTTCTTTTGGCCACTCTTGGGCCATTTTGAGGCGTCAAAAGCGCGTCGGAAGCAAAATGGTGAGACGGCACACCTCATTGATTTTCCTACAGGTCTGAGAATGTTGGCCTCTTGGGGAGGGTGTCCTGATGGGGGCTCCGAGAGCACTTGGAACGATCTTGTGGCCCTCGTCGGGCCTCTTGGAGGTATACCTGGAGCTGTCCTGGACAAACTGTGGACATACTGGGTAGCCTTGAAACCATTTTGGGGCATCGGAGGCCCTCTTGGAGCAATCTAGGGCGAAACAGGACCCTCTGCCACCTCGGGCCCCCCGCCAACAAAAACTTCAGGGGGGGAGGCGGAGGGTGCCCCTCCCCGAAGGGAAGAGGGTTTTGAACGAGAGAAGAGGGACATCGTTTGACCACCCTAGCCCAGAGGGTTTGTGGGATTCCTCGTTGTCTTCCTCTTTCTCTTCTTCTTTTGTTTCCGCTGGTGACTCCTTATCATCTCCCTCCCTCCATCCTCCTTCTTCCGCTCTTTCTCCCCTCGTTTTCCGTCCCCGTAATCCTTTTCCTCATTTGTCTCATTGATTGGTCTCTCACGGGGGCCACCTTCGCAGGCCTGGGGCCATCTTGTATGGCCTCCAAGTTTTTTCCTGCAGCCTCTTGCGCAGGGGGGGCACATGTATGAACAGCAGGCATAGCACATCAGGGTGCCTGGTGTAGCGTCAGAGTTGCATCAGATCTCACGAGCTTATTCTGAGACTTCGCAGTCCGTCCCGCCATTGATGGCCGAGCCGCGGCTCGATCTGCGGAGGAATGCAGCGATGGAGCGATAAGCACGCATCACAGCGTTCGAGCACGCCGGAGGTCAGGGTGCTCATAATTCCGGACAGGCCCAGCAGCGAGTTCATGGAAGGCCAGCGATTGCGTACAGAGTATAGCAGCCGCAGCCACAGTGCATGGTAGACACCCGATTCTTGGGAACGCCAGCGAGGTTCTCAGGAGACACGCCGTGCTGAAAGGGTTTGTCGTTTTCGATGCAGGCCTTTGCGGCGGCGGTCAGCCCATGGTTCAGTGCCGAGAGAAGCACAGCCATCAGTAAACTTCACGCCGAAAACATGCGTTTTTGTGTTGTAAACATGGAAACACCATTCCACTGCAAGTCAGTTGCAGCGCAAACCCTCCCAACGCATTCCCGCCGCACACGCGGGAAGTTGATGCGATGAGTTTGCCTTTAACAGCCCGAGCTCCAGGTGATGGTACATTACGTTTTTGAAGTTGGGTTTGTTGCGTGCCAAACGTCTGAAACAATATTTCCCCCTCCCCTTAGATTACTTCCCCCATCATCCCATCCAGCAGCCCCTTTCCCCCGACATCCCTGGTCCCGAGGCATTCCCTTGGCCTCCTCCCCGCCTGTAACGGAGGCGGCTCGGGCTGCCCATTCATTGGGGCTTCGACAGTAGAGCTCTCTTACGGGTGCGCTCCGCCTCGCCCACTGCCCGCCTTTGCCTGTCCGATTGCCCCTCTCCTCTCCTCCTCTCCTCTCCTCGCCTCCCTCCCTCCGCCCTCCTCCTCCCTGGAATTGCATTTTCACTGTGTCCAGGCTGCCTGGAGAAAGCCGCTATCCGCTTCGACGTGTTATCATATCATGCGCTCTGCGCGCATCCGATCAGCCTCGCTTCTGTTTCGTTGGATTCGTGGTCATTCACGGCTGGGCATGCGGATTAGACTTGCCGTGTATACCGCCGGTTGATTGCCAAGTTTGGGTGTTCCGTTTTCAGGCTTCTCGTCGTGCTTCTTGCCCCTCAAACAGAGTGCCCGCCTTTTCTTCTTCTACTCCTCCCTCCTTGCCCCTCCTTCCTGGCACGAACACTGGGCCAGACCTCTAGCGTCCTCGCAGTCTTCTGGCGTTCTGGCTCCAGAGGTCTCGACCCCAGGTTCCGCCTGTAGTTCATACCGTTGAGTGTGTTTGTGGGTCCCGGGGCCCGCACTGAGTATCCCAGAACGGGGGATCTCTAGAAAACCCCTTTCTCCTCCTCCACCGCTCCTCCCTCCCTCCCTCCCCGCTCCTCCCCGCTCCTGGCCGCGCCACGTTGGCAGCGCAGGCAACGCCCCCGCCGGCACCCGCTGCGGACCCGATTCCTTCCGCTTCCGAGATGGCCCCGTGGCTGGACGCGCGGGCGCTCCCGAGGGAAAAGGGGATTCAATGAGGGGAGGGGGGGGGATGAGGTGGAGGAGTCGGGGGAGGAGGGATGATAGGAGGGGTGGGTGGGACGAGGGAGAGGACGAGGAGGAGTGGGGAGCAGGAGGACGAGGACGAGGAGAAGGGTGATGACGAGGAGGTGGAGCTCGGCAAAGGGGCGGTCGGAGAAAGCAGAATCGGTTCGGCTCGGCGGATCGGCCAAGGTTTCTGTTGTGTGTCCAGAGATTGGGTGCATGAGCATGTATGCGGGTATTTCGGCCGTGCCCCATCATCTTGGGATTCCTCCTCTTCCTCCTCCCCCTCCTCGTCGTCGTCCTCCTCCTCTTCCTCTTCCTCCGTAGGCATTTTGGCTCAAGCCGTTTTGGCACAAGCGGCACGGCAACTAACCATCTTGCTGTGAGTCTGCCCAGACCGCAGCAGAACCTTTCAACTTACAACTACCGTTTCCATTGCTCTCAGCTCGATGGATGTTGGCGCCGGGGGCCAAACACTTACGAAGGGCAAACGCAACGACAAAGATGGCAAGCAATCGAAACCTCGAGAGCGATCGGCTTCTCCTTCGTCTGGGGACGTTTGTTCTGACTCTTGGACTCCGCCGCGTGCGCCAGCCCGCCGCCGATCGTCAAGAACGCGGTGTCGCCCCTGGATGTCGTGGTGAGCGCGCCGCTGGACCGACGCTGCTGAGGCCGCTCGCGCCTCGGATGCCGCCGAAGACAGCATGGAGGACGTCGAGACCGGCGAGCGTGCCGCCGCCGCCGCCATTGTCGCTGCCATGGACCGGTTCGACACCCTCCACCCCGAGGAGCGTCGTCCACCTGGGGCTGTCCATGCTGCGTCAGGCGTTCCTCCTCCAGGTGGTGTCTGCTTCAAGCTGGCAAACGTGGTGCGCCCCGTGACCCTTGCTGGAGGGTGAAAGAAGGGGTCTGCAACAGGGGGTCTTCAATGGTGGCTGAATGGCCCGTGTATGCTCAATGTATCGCTCGTGTATGTGATCGGATACGATTGGCATCCAATGCTGGCCGTCATAGAGGGCCAATCGTTCGTGCCCGCGCTTTGCCCGCGCGGGCAAACGCGCCGTCCATCCATTATCGTTCACGCGTGCGGGCGTTCTCGCATATCGCGCGTGGGGCGGCGAAATGGAGTGCAAGTGTGTCTTGATTGTGCGGTTGATGATCGCGCATGTAATCGATTGATGACTTGTCGACCCCCAAAACAGATTTGGAATGGGTTCCGCGATTCCCCCAATTTGTGAATTTGTATTTTCTTTGTCCTCACAATGTGAATTCACTTTTTCGTTTTTTTTCTCCAACATAGGAATTCACATTCTTGCCCCTTTTATAACGGTCCGTACACAAAATTACAACATGTGAATTTACAATTTTCTTTTTTGTCCAAAATGTGAATTCACATTGTTTCTTTTTGTCAACTGTTGAATTCACATGTTGTTGTCCACCCAACATGTGAATTCACATGTTGCCTTGGACCTCAAGACTCCCAAAACTGAGGCGCAGTGTTCCGCATGTCAGACTGGCTGGGCAGATTTTGACACTCACCTCACCGCTGCCTTTTTCCAATTTGCGCCCTCAGCGCACGTTGCCTTCGTCGCCTTTCCCGAGCACCCCGCCTCCTTGCCGTTTGCCTTCAAGTCTCGCGCATGGGTGCAGGCGGGGAACTTCAATTGGTTCCCCCGCCGAGCGCAGCAATCGAGGATGCATCTCCCATGCATGGCCCACGGAGACACTATTGCCGGGACCATGCGCCCGACCCCCATTATCCCCCTCCAACCTTTGCAAGAGGCAGCTTCCGCCGCTGACCCCAAGTCCATGTTTCAGAATGCCCGCGCCTCCATGGCGGCGGAACTGACGGAGGCCACAGAGAAGGACCTTAAAAATTACACGTCGGAGCGATTGCCTTCCACGGTCACCTCGGCCGTTCAACGCCTCCTCACCAACTTCGAGAAGTCCATTCAGCGGTACTTCGCCGAAAAGGACCAGAGGATCTGCGAGATCAGCGATGAGATGGGCCCCATGCGCAAGAGAGGCGAAGCCATGGAGCTGCGCCTGCAGGCCTTAGAGCGGGAGCTCGACCTTGCACGGCGCGAGCCACGCCCCACGGTTGTTCGGACGAGCGAATGGGCTCGCAAGGTGGACCGATCGGTGTTCATCATTCGGGGCAACGAGAACATCGACAAGAACTTGGTCCAGCAAGCGCTTGCACCATGGCTTGACGCTGCCCGCTACACGACGGGCGATGATTGCCGCCTTGAAGGTGAGACTTTGGGCAATATGTTTACTCTACGTTTTCTCGGCCGCGATGCGGTGGGCGAAAAACGCGCCGCACAAACCCACGCCCAGCAACGTCATGTAGATGGCCAGTGGCGCTCGTTCCAGGTCCAGATGCCCGGCGAACGATGGGCGCCCTCAGAATCTCTTTCGACAAGAGCCAAGAAGACATCCTCGCGGAGACCGCGGTCAAGAAGTGCAGGACCGCCTTCGGCGCCTTCTTCCAGAAGCCCATGCGCGCGGACCGGGGAGAGGGCATTCTCTCCATCCAGCGGGGGAAGGTGCGCAAAATGGAGCCTCGACTGCCTCGCGTCCCTGGGCGCGACGAGGGGTGCTGTCGATGCTGTGGCGCAGCGTGCTCTGGTGGCCAGGGGAACCAGGTAGACGGGGCAACGCGGCATTTGCATGCGACGGGCGTTTCGCCCTAGCGTCTTGGAACACGCGGGCGCTCACGCATTGCAAGTCCATTGGCGCTCATAGACAAGAATGTCGCCATCCTGGAGCATCTGCTCTGCCCTGCGCGCATCGTGGCGCTCCGAGTTTCTTGGCGCGCTTCTCCGTCGATTCCGAAACTCGCATCGTATATGTTCGGCCCCTCCCGGGCGCGACCGGAGGGGCGGGGTCGCCGCTGTCGCGCCGACGGGCCCTGACCTCACGATGTCCCCCGATATAGTGGTACCTGGCTGCATCCTGCTCACCGAGAGATGCCCGCGCTCCTTCGACTCCGCATTCCACCGCTGGAATGTCCACAACCGCGACATCTCCAATGACGAGTTCCGGATGTTCGCCAGGAAGTTCCGAGCCCAGGTACGAGCTTCGCAAACCAACGCATCCAAGTCAGTCGTTTTCCTGGTTGGGGTCTTCAACATTGCCGACTCAAGCGGCGAGCTGGCTCCAAGCGGCACTCCTGGCGGTTCTAGGGGCGACGCGGCCCCTCTCAGCTCGATCGCGCGGGCGACCCCCGACGGAGGCAACTTTGGAAGATGTCGGCCGAGTTCGACGCTGGACGCCGGACGCATTGGCGCCAGCCTACGCAGCAAGCCACGCAGATCGACAGGGCGTCTACTTCGGCGCCAGGTCGGTTAGTCACGAGGTTCTGGCAGCCCGCGCGGCCGCGGCGGACGAACCGCAGGAACTGCGCCGAGACGAGATCAGCGACCGCGCGCCGCTCATCTCACAGTGGGCTCCAAGGCCGCCTGGCGACCAAGATCGCGTCAAACCGCTTCCCAAGCACATCGTGCAGGGCCCGTTGTTCTTGCAGATGGCTGTGGAGTGCGAGCGGCTTGCTGGCGTCGATCACCCTGGGTCATCCGCCCCCTTCAGGCTGCGGTTAGCAGTCAAGTGTCGACGAGGCGCTACGCGCGCCACTCGCGACCTGCAGCTTCGAGCGCGGGGGTTGAGGATATCCAAAGTTCGCCATGGTCTTCCGCGCCATCGCGCGGGCCATCATGCGGCAGGGCGCCGGCGCCGCTCGCGCCGCGCGGGCCCGGCGCGAACGGGCCCGGGAGCACGTCGCCGCGGGGGCGTCGGCGACTTCGGCGGCGCCCTCGCGGCGCGCAGCGAGTGCCCCGTCCGCTTCCAAGCGGCCTTCTGTGACGCCCTGGCCGCGGCGCTTCTTGAGGAGGAGACTCGCTCGCGCGAGCTGCGAGACTCAGCTTTCTGACAGGCCCCAGGCGGCGTTTCGCTCCAGGAATCTGCGGGCCATCCAGCTTCGCGCCCGCTTGCGGGGCTCCAGCTGCCCTCGTCGATCTCTTGGCGGGCTGCTGTGCCGGGGGCGCGGTGCTATCGGAGCTTAGTTTAAAGGCTCGCGGTTTGGCGAGCCATTGGGCCCCGATCTTCTAGGGCACTTCGCCCGCCCCCGCCGGCGGCGACCAGTGCAAAAAGCGTTTCGCCCGCTCTGATGATTTCTCTGACCTCTTTCTCCCTTTCAGCCCACAATTCAGCAGATGTTTCGGCGCGCCTCGGATTCCGCGCCAGGCCCCGACGGCTTGCCGGGCAAGTGATGGGCCATCGGCGTGGGTCTTCCCATAGTTAGCGACGTATTCTGGTGGATTTCTCGCGGAGCCCCCATGGGCCCAACTTTTTATTAGTCCCTTTCGGCGTTCTTTCCGAAAGGTTGCGCGCCGGGCGATCTGGGGGCCGCGGCCCTCGTTCGAGCGGCGCAGGGCACTCGTCCGCTTGCTTTGCAGAACACGTCAGACAAGGCAGTCGCTTCGGCGATCAAGCGCTCCCTCGATGCAAAATTGATTTGTGCGCGGGCGGCCATTCGCTGAGAACGGCGCTGCGTTAGACTCGCTCGCTCGGATCGGCAGTGTTCGGAAGCACCTCCTTCCAGACCCCCCCCTCGATATTGGTTCCCAATGTTTTTTTTTGCCTTTTGAATTGCGTCGGGGTGCCACAGCGCTCGGCAGGATCGGCTCCTCCGCGCGATTCTGGCAGTTCGCCTGCCTAGGGGATGCCAGGCGGCAGTCGCCGATTTTTACGCCCTCAACTTGCGCTGGTTCTGCGACGGGGCTCGCTGCTTCCCATCTTCTGCATGGCTGCAGGGGCGTTGCGGGGCTGCCCCCTGAGTGGCTCATTATTCCTGATCGCATCAAATCCATTTGTGTGTGGGATCTGGAGCTCGAGGTGGCGAGCCACCGCCTGGGGCCCCAGAGGGCGTGCGCTGATTCTGTCGGGGCCGTGCTTTTCCATT